AATCCAGACTTTCTGGCACTACAGAGACTGGAGGAACCACCAGAACTACTGCCCTCTGGTAAGAAATCTTTAAACCTTAAATTAAAAATATCCCCTGAAGTCTTCTTTAAACCAAACAACAGTTAAGCTTCAGGAGGAAAGAATGTCTGGCCCTTTTTAAAATCCAAATGGAGTCTAACTGAAAACAACAACTGGAAAGAGTTGATAGGGAATCTTAGCAGTCAGTGGATTTGCTAATGGGGAGGAAGAGTTTGGAAAAGGAGGGTGAGAATGATTACACAACTGGAAGAATGTGATCATAATCCCCAAACTGCACATGTGCAACAAGAAACATCATTTGCAAACAACAAATGTTGGCGAGGTTATGGAGAAACTGGAACCCTTATTCACTGTTGGTGGGAGTGTAGAATGGTGAAACCACTATGGAAGGCAGTATGGCACTTTTTCAAAAAGTTGCAAATAGAAATACCATTTGATCCAGCAATTCCACTACTGGGAATACACCCTAAAGAAACCATAACTGCTACCCAAGCAGATATATGCACACCCATGTTTATTGCAGCTTTGTTCAGAATAGCAAAGAGTTGTAAACAACCTAAGTGCCCAGCAACAAATGAATGGATTGAGAAGCTGTGGTATATTCACACAATGGAATACTACGCTGCTTTGAAAAACAAGGAACTCATGAAATATTTTACAAAATGGGTGACCCTAGAGGACATTATGCTGAGTGAAATATCTCAGTCACAAAAGGACATATACTGCATAGTGGCACTGTTGTAAAACAGGACTGATATGGGGGTTGAGAGATTGAGAAAGATGGGATAAATTATGTATACTGCATTGAAAGAGATGAGGGAGAGAACTGTTTAAAAGGGATATATGATTAGGTATTATTGTCATGACAGGAGTCCAGAACAAAGGATGCATAGTGGAGTGGACTTAGGGGGAGGAATTTTATAACATGAAAGAATTTTTCAAAGAGAAGAGCAAACTGCGGAGGAGGAGTGGACAGGGAGAAAAGTGCAACAATGAATGAATGAATGAATGGAAATCCGAAGTCTCTGTAAACTTTCACTAATAGTAGTAATAAGGAAAAAAAGAGGCATCATTTATGAAAGTAGGTGTGGGGAGGTAACAGGCTTCAACATAAGGAAGAGGGAAGGCTTTTGTAGAAAATAAATATGATGCACACCCATGTGGCTTTGTTCACAATAGCAAGGAGTTGGAAACAACCTAAGTGCTCATCAACAAATGAATGGACAGAGAAGCTGTGGTATATTCACACAATGGAATACCATGCTACATTGAAAAACAAGGAACTGATGCAATATTACTAAAAATGGGTGACCCCGGAGGACATTATGCTGAGTGAAGTATCTCAGTCACAAAAGGACAAATACTAAACAGGACTGACATGGGGTTGGGAGGAGACTGAGAAAGATGGGTTCAATAATGTATATTGCATTGAAACAAATGAGAAAACTGTTTTAAAGTGATATGTGTATCACAAGAGTCCACAATTAAGGTTGCATAGTGGAATGTACTTGGGGCAGTGGGAGGTGTGCGGGGGGACTGTGTACCAGGGAGGGAGTCTTTCTTTTACTTTTGAAAGAGAGGAGCGAACTGGGGGGCAGGGGGAGAGGGCTGGGCGGGTAGAGAAGTGCAGCAATGAATGAACGGAACTCCAAATTATCTGTAAATGTTAATTAAATTTTTTTTAAGTGATATGTGATTAGGTATTTTTGTCATGTCAGGAGTCCAGAGTGAAGGCTGCATAGTTGAATGTACCTGGGCAGAGGTACTGTAAAACAGTGAAAGAATTTTTCTTTTACTTTTCCAAGAGGGTAGTGTACGAGAGGGTTGGGAGGGGAGAAAAGTGCAACAATGAATGAATGGAAATCCAATGTCTCTGTAAATTTTCATTGGACTTAATAACAAAAAAAATTAAAAAAGAAAATAGGGAAGTAAAAATTAAGAAGATAAATCTGCAGAGGATAACCTTATAAACAAAAGTAAAAGGCATTTCATTTTAATAATGAAGCTGTGTTCTCAAACTTCTAACAACACAGTATGCTTTATTGTTTTTAGGTACAACTCTTAGTGACCGATGAACAACAGATCTTGTATGTCCTATCCTGTGCCATCCGCACAATCTGACACTCTTGAACCCATTGCTGCAGACACTGTGTCAATCCACCTGAGGGTCTTCCTCTTTTTCGTGATCCCACCACCTTCCCAAGCATGATGTCCCTTTCTAGTGAAATAGCCTTTTCTAGCAACATGCCCTAAGTATGTGAGATGAAGCTTTAACATCTTTGCCTCCGGAGCACTCTGGCTCTATCTTCTTCAAACCATCTCTCTTCTTTTGGTAGTCAATGGGATTTTCAGCACTCTTCAACACAAGAGCTCAAAGGCATCAACTCTTTTTCTGTCATCCTTATATTCACTGTCCAGCTTTCAGCAGCATAGCGAATGATTGAAAAAGGTCATGGTCTGAATCAGGTGTACCTTAGTCCTCAAACTAATGTGATTGTTCCTCTATAATTGGGGTGTGTCCCTGACTGCAGACTTTCCCACCGTAATGTGTCTCTTGACTGCTGGTACCAAGTGTATTGATCCAAGTAAAATGAAGTCATTGACAGTTTCAATCGTTTTTCCACCCATCATGATGTTGCCTATAGATCCAGTGGTGAGGATTTTTTTTTTCATTGACATGCAATCCATATTGAAGGCTTTTACTTCTGCAACAAGCACTTCAAGTCCACCTCATTTTCAGCAAACAAGGCTGTGTGATCAGTACAACGAAAATTATTGAGTCTTCCTCCAATCCTTATAACAGAATTGTTTCCTCCACATTCTTATAATTCAGTTTCAAGAATAATTTTCTCAGTATATGGATTGAATAGGTATGGAGAAAGGATACAACTCTGACACACACCTTCCATAATTTTAAACCATTCAGTTCCTTTGCTCTGTTTGCACAATAGCCTCTTGGCCTAGGTATGTTCCTCAAGTGAACAATTAAGTGTTCTGGGACTCCCATTCTTCTCAATGTTAGCCATAATTTGTTATGATCTACATAGTTAAGTGTCTTTGCACAGTAAATAAAAGCCCAAATAGACAAGTCTTCTGGTATTCTTTGCTTTTACCCAGGATCCATCTGAGATTAGTAGTGAAATTCCTGGTGTCACAGCCTCTTCTAAATCCAGCTTGACCTTCTGGCAGTTCTCTATATCCTGTTGTTTTTTTTTTCTCTTTAGCAGTATTTTGTTTGCGTGAGATATTAATATTGCTCAATTATTTCCACATTGGACCATCTCTCGAGAATGGGAATATGGATCTCTTCCAGTTAGACGGCTGTCCAAATTTCCTGGCATAACCTGGTGGGCATGTCCAAGGCTGTATCTGCCATTTGAAACATGTTGACTGGTATTGCATCAATTCCTAGGGCCTTATATTTTGCCAATGTTTTCAGTGAGGCTTGAACTACCTCCTTCATTACCATTGGCTCTTGCTCATATGGTACTTCCTGAAATATTTCAGTGTGGAGAATTAACTTCTCAGCATACATAGAAACAACTTTTGGTATTTGAGAAAATACTCTGGTATAGAAATTCAGGGTGTGGCCTTCAGAGGCAGATAGGCTGGTTCAAGTGCCTTTTCTGCCACTTGCTAACTACAAGGCCTGTGCACACTACTAACTTCTCAAATACTTTATTAATGTCTCTGACCCTTTACTATTTTCCTCTATGAACCAGTGATAATACATGGTCAAGAATTAAGGAACTAGGGTGCTTGGTGCAGAGCTAGATACACAGCAGGATTTTAGTACATTTGCTCAACTGAGCTGTGGTGGTGGACACAAGAAAGCAGAGTAAGGAGCTCTGGTGGTCTAGTGACAAGAAGCTGCACTGGAATCCCGAAGGCACATGGTTTGAATCCACCAGATGCTCTGCTGGAGAAGGAGGGATAATCTCCTCATGTGCCAGATGGATCTGATTCAACAGTACATACAAGAAGAGAAAAAAAAAAGAAAGAAAGAAAGCAGAGAGTAGTATCACTTCCTCAGTTTCTCTGACTTGGACCGAGAATTAAAATGGCCTTTGTTTCTATCACACCTGAAATTAGAAAAACCAAAGACAAATAGAGTAAGAATAATAATTTCTGTTACTCTAGTGAAGTGGAATCCTTATGCTTTTGTCAGTGGAAACCAGGTAATAAATGTTACTTTCCAACCCAAATTCTTCCACATCTCCAATGAAAGAAACACAACCAATAGAGTCAGAGTATATTTATGGGCAGGGCTGGGTTTAACAGGCTATGAGTCCGGAATAGATTCAGGAGGATCCACCTTCTCATTGGCTGGCTTGACAGAGTCCTCTTCATGCTGCTGTCTGATGTACTGATCCAACAGGGTGGTCAACTGGAGGGGCTGGTGTTGAAGCAGGGAGTGGGTCTGGGCCATTAGGAAGCTGAGTCCTCCAACTAGCTGACCTTGCACTAGGTCTAGGCTAGGAAGTTTGGAGTAGTTGATGAAGCCCTGCTTGCTGAGGATAGTGTCGTCAACGCAGCCACCTGGAAAAAGATGAGGTCGGATGGGTTCTCCATAAAACCCTCTTGTCCAAAAATGACAGTGCAATCTTAGGGATATACTCTCCATTGCCCTTGTCCACTTCCCAGCTTTTCCTGGAATACTGGTTCCTACTTGTCACCACAACACTCCCACTGCCGTTCTGCTTGGGATCAATTCCCATCTCTCCTTCCTAATTCATCTACCAGAAAACTTTGGGATAATGAATCTACATGGTCCCAAGTCCACTAGTTCAAATATTAATGGAGAGAAGAATCATGGAATTCAGGGTGAGGGAAGATAGTTTATTATACATATAGATTTTTGGGCCCCCAAACAGACCTATTAAATTTTCATTTCCAGAGAGGATGCTCAGTATTCTTTTTTTAAAAATTTTTTTCTTTTATCTTTTTTTTGTGTGTACTGTCAAATCGGATCTGACTGGTACAGGAGGAGACTGCACTTCCTTTTCCAGCACAGCATCTGGTGGATTTGAACCGCATACCTCTGCAACTGCAGAGCAGCTTCTTGCCACTAGGCCACCAGAGCTCCCTGATGTTCAGTATTCTATCTAGATGTAGTATGACCAGTAAATCTTACCATCAGGAGAATATGGGGAACACTGCTTACAGGTCCTCAGCATTCTTTATTTGGGGTATTTGTTTTAAATATCTTAATCTGTGTGTTTCAGCACCTACCACTACTATCATTAGACTCAAGGTATCTGAACATATTCTCCCTACAACAGCACCCTCTCTATCTTCCTTCCACCTTTCCTAGTCTTTTCTCCAAGGCAGAAATCACCTGGGTAGTGAGATAAGACAGGTGCCACAGTGACACAGTCAGTTCTCAGGGGCTGCTGGCTCAGGCTCCATCCATGAAAATAATGTTCTCTCCCAGGATGTCCATAGTTTTACTCAGACACGCTCAGCAGATGGCTGCTGGAGCATCCACTCCCATTCACCTCCATCCTCAGTTGGCAGGTCTATTTGTTTACCTAGTAGTGGCAGGAAAGGCATACTCTTCAAGATTCGTACCAACTCCTTGACCTTGGGCTCTTCACTGACCAGCAGTAGGTTGTGCCCTACAAAAAGGGGCAGCAGGTTTCTGTACTTGGACTCTTCCAAGAAGAGCTTCATGACCTAAAACAGCCGGAAAGAATGGCTGATTAGTGGGAATGGTGGGAGGAGAGTTGAGCTGGTCAGAGGTGGTCTCAGGCTCAAGGAGCAACCCAAGGTTGTCTTTATTCTTTATTTGCAGTTGAGGTACCAGAGACTTAAGGGCTGTTTGTAGAGTGGAAGAGTAGGAAATGCCACATCTAGGGAGCACATACTGGGGTCTGAGGTTAGCCAAGCTGGTGAGAACACAGCCAATCCCAGCCAGAGGGGCCCACTGTCTACCTGGTTGGGGAAGACCTTCATCAAGATCTTCTGTTTGCGCAGCCGGTGCCTTAAATGGAGCTTGTCCTCTGCACTCAGAGCCACATTCTGGCAGACAGCTATCATTCGGTTATCTTGGAAAACAGCTGCTATCTCCCGCCGGAGAAGCCTGATGAGACCTGTCTCCTACAGTCAGGAAAGGACAGCCATTGGACACAAGCTCTCATATGCCTCTCCTCCTTGCACCACTTACTCTCACGGTTACATGCTGAGGTATCCAATGATGCCTAAATGTGCAAAAGATCTGGGAACAGGCAGGATCACTGGACCTCTGATTCTCAGAGATGTGTTATACTCCTACCCTTTTCATTCCCCCCCCCCTTTCATTAGATATCCACACTCTTCAGAGTAGTGTTTTTCAAACCTGAGGACATTCAGTGCCCCTGAATAAATCAGCAGTCTATCCCAATCATTATTATTTGACAATGTTGTTGTCAACATTACTTCAATATTCCTTCTGAAAATATATTCACTTTGATTTACTAATAATAAAACCACCCTGAAAAAAAAATTTTTTAAAGTCAAAACAAAAACTAGCTCTGCCATCATGCTAATTCAAAATCTTACAGAATCCTCATTTTTTTAAAGACAGCAATTCTCAAAATTGAAAACTTACAGACTCAAAATACATTCACAAACTTCTGTAACACTGTTTAAAATATTTTTTCCCTCCTCTCTCTAAAGTAATGATCCTAAAACTTGAACACTGGAGCAGCTGGAAGTCATGGTGGTCTTTGCAAAATTTTGTGGTAATATTAACATACACAAGTTAAAATAATGGTAAGCTCATTATTGTGCTTTTGATCTTCCCTTACTAAATAGCTACTAGCCGTATGTGGCTAATAATATTTAGTTTACATTTACCTACAATTAGAAATTCAGTTCCTCAGTCATATAGGCCTCATTTCAAGTGCTCAGTAACCACATATGGCTAATGGCTATTACATTGGGCAGTGCAGATATAATGCATCCTCATAATGGGCTACTGCATAAGACATGTCTAGATTATCATCATCTTTATAAGGTAGCACTGCATTACTGGCATGAAAAAAAGTAGGCAAGAAAAACTTAGCTGGCAACATTTTATCCAATGACTTTGTTAGATCTGAGCTGGGGGTGTGGAAGAAGGCTATAACTCAATTTTAGGTGGGCAAAAGTTAAAATCTACTGAAATGTAGCTTGCCAAGCACTGCTACAGGCTGACCCTCTACAGTTAAGACAGCTCTTTGCTTTCAGGAAAAGACCCAGATGGGTGGGTTTTATTCTTTTATTGTTGTTGTTGATGATTGTTGTCTAGTTGAGCACAACTCATAGGAACCCTATGAACAAAAGACCTGAAGCCTTTCGATAACTAACATTTCTCAAAGTTGTGAAGAATTTCCAGAGGGATTAGTCCTCAAGGAATCCCAGCTAAGTGACTCATCTCATCATTTCTACTAGTATTTTACCTCTGACTTAAATCCCTCAGGCTACAGCTGTTGCTCAGTTCCCCATGTGCTAGTCTTTATAAAATAGGAGAGCGGAAGTACTACTCCAGCAGTACTAGACAACTAGAAAATGAGAACTTACTAGATCCTTATAGTAGCAGGAATAAGGTTGTAAATCCTCTATTGGTCTGTTTTGTTGTGTTGTGTGTGTGTGTGTGTGTGTGTGTGTTTTTAAACAGAACAGAACAGAGAAGCTCTCTCCTCCAGAAAAATGTGGAGGCTTTGGTGACTTTTAGAAGAAAGATACTTGGCCCATCCTATCCTACCTGTTTGGTAGTTTTCACACATACCTTTTGGAGACAGGTAAAGAACTAAGCAAATTCAGTAGCCTTCTTTGATTCAGAGCCCTAAGGCCAACAGAGAATCTAGTGTAGATCTTTTTAAAAAGTACTATGGGGTGAGAGTGGGTAAGTGGAGTAATGATGTGACTATGTACACCCATTCTCCCCCTTACCTGCTGGGGAGGCTTGGGAGGACGTGGCAGACATCTTGGGTTGATGGCTGGTTTTGGGGGTACATACTCAGTCAAAGCCATCAGCTTCTGCCGCTGAAAGTGCATCACCCGGTGATGCCGGGTAACGGCCCTGGAGCCATGGCGTACAGTCTGGCAGGTGGGGAGCCGGCCTGGGAGGGGAGATGACAATAGGAGTGAGAAGCTTCTTTGAGGCCCCAATCTACCAAAGACAAGAAATGACACTCTCTTGGTAGAGACAACTACAGCTCACAAAGCAAGACTCAGCTCGGCACAAGAATGGGGCAAAGGACTGTCTGCTAGAAATTCTGACTTCTCAAATTTCTTCTCCTTTAATGGGTGAGTCTAGGTCTATCATTGTTCCTTGGAGGCTCCAGTTTCTCCAGCTCTTCTTTATGTGCAGAGATGGAAGAAACAAGAACAAAGGAGAAATTATATTGAACACAAATAAAAAATAACAAGGGGTAAACAAATTTTAAGTGCCCAAACAGAAAGTATTTTCCATTTGAGAGCCATGCAGTCTCTGTAACTACTACCCAACTCTGCCTCTGTATAGTGAAATCAGCCATGAGCAATGTGTCAACAAACAGGTATAGCTATGTTCCAATAAAACTTTATCTGCCAAAACAAGCTGCCTGCCCTGCCATAGCTTTACAACTCTTAGTCTAAGTCAGTGGTCCTCAAAGTGATAGGGCCCAGAAAACAGTGACCAACAAGCTCTCAGGTTTGTTGAAGCTAAACATGCTAAAGTCTGAAAACCACTGCCTTAAATATGTCCCCCTCCCCCTGATTGGAAGTAAAAAAAAATTAAATTAAAAAATCACTCTTAAAGCCCCTCCAAACAAGTCTCCCTTTCTTCTTCCTCTTGTTCACAAACATCAACTAGACAACAATCCTCAGATGGAAAATGCACCATTTGAAAGCCCGGAGCCAAAGTGATCTCTTCATTCTTGACACAAGACCTAAAGCTGGCACCTTTCCACTTTCAGTTCTCCCCAAAGCCGGGATGGTATCTCGGAAAAAACATTCCCAAAGAAAATGGCTCAACAGAGTCAGAGAACAGAAAGATTTGTTAGTGCAAAAAGTTATACTGACAACAGCCATAATTACAACTTTTATGATGTCAGATGAAACCAGATTTAAATCTCTCTTCTGCCACTTCCTAGCTCTAACCTTGACCAAACTCAACCATTTTGGTTTTTTTTTCTATATTTTATTAATTTTCATAAACATTTACAGAGATTTTGGGTTTCCATTCATTCATTGTTGCACTATTCTCTCTACCCTCCTCCCAGTTTGTTCTTGTCCAAATGCCACAGTGCTTGTCAAAGCCAGTTCTGATTAATCTTCTTTGTCAGTGTGTCCTTTGCCATTCCCTATCACTCCTCCCTGAGAGAGACTTCACCCTGAGTCATAAGGAAAAGGGGATGGCGTATTCTCTTAGCTACTTCCTGCTGAAAAGGGACGCTGTGGGTTTCAGGGTGAAGATCTTCTCTCACTACTCTAAAGGGCCCCTTTGGCAGTAGGAAACACATAGACTATTATGGAGATTGATTTTGGAATTCAAACTCAACCATTTTGAACCTCAGTTTCCTCACCTGTAAATAGGGTATAATACCCGAATCTTAGAGTGATGTTTGTAAAGTATTCCTAACAGTGCCTGCTATAAATACCAAGTGCTCAAATTCATCCACGAAGCAAATAATGCATGCCTACTAATGTCAGATACCACACCACCTGCTGGCTATGCTGAGTGAACAAAGACTCTGCCCTTGTGGAGTTTACAGTCTAATCGAGAAGAGAGCGAAAAAACAAATGCAAAATTAGAAATTATGATAGACACTACGGAGTTAATGAATCAAGTCAAGATAGATATAAATGGGATATACATGATTTACAGAGGATGGTGAGGGAGGGTCTGAGGAAATGCCATTAAAGCTGAGACCCTAAGGATTAAAATGGATACAGCAAGACTTGCAAAAGCCGCAAAGTGTGTAAGGCGGATACCTGCCTGAGAAGAAAAATGCACACACTTTACACTAAAACAAGAGACACGACAGTAATGACAGCACCCTGTCAAAGGCGGGACTCGCGGGACCCGGAAAAACCACGCAGCACCAACAGGTTCCCGCTTTCGCTTAGTATCGCTAGACTGAGAAAGGGCTGTGGTCCAAGAAAGGGAACTCTGAGGGCAGGAAAAAGGCTGGGTGGGCAAGAGAGATTCAAAGACAGTACTGGGTCTGGCGTGTAACGAACAAATCCTACGGTTGTCATTGCTGCTGCCGGAGATCTAGCTGTGGTCAGGGGTCATCAAGAGCTGTATGGGTTGGAGGTTATGGAGAGATTATGGGAAGGAATTAGTCATTGAAGACGAGAGAGTAGGGGTCTAGACAAAGACGGCCGAGTCCTTACCCGTCTGGGGCAGGAGACCCCCTCGCAGCATCCCAACCACGGCCGCAGCCATCTCTGCCGAAGGAATGGACGGAAGCCGAAAGGTGAAGGAAGGCGCTAAGGATTGTGGGGCAGCTAACCAGGAGCAGGAAGCCGCTTGTGGCGCCACTGGCCAAAGCCCGCATGCGCTGAGTCAGCCCACTGCTGGCGTCTGGTTTCCTAGCAACGACAACGTTTCCCGAATTCTTCTGCTCTGGTAGCTCACTTCCCGTTGCTGCCAACGAACCTGCTTAGCACCCTGAAGTCCTATACGCTGCGCATCAGTTTACTTTTCTTTCCACCCTATCCCAGCAATTTAGTCCACACCAACTCTTTTGCCTTATTCCCCAAGTTTCTGGACTTTTCTTCACAACATCCTGGATTCAACCACCCCACTAGCCCTCTTAAGTTGTTCTGCCTCTTCGTCTACCCCAGGCCGGCAGCCTTTTAGATCATGCCAGAAAGTAAGTAGGGAGGTGGGATGGTGGGTAGAGGAACAGTAGGATCGATCCTCCAGGAATGAGGAAATGTGGCAATTTCACTTCTTCACAGCTAATCCTGCCCCTAGTCTAGAGGAAGGAGACATGTGCATCACTGAAGACCTTATCACTAAAAGGAACTTGACTTTCCCAGAGGAGATTGACCTATCGCAGAAGATGTAAGAATGAATGGGTGGAAGAGAAAGGGGACTGAAGACTGACCCAAGCTCAGCTTTGCTTCTTTCTTTGCTTACTCCACACGTTCCATCAAGAGTAATGCCCCGATGATCACAATCACTCAAATCACAATCAGCGGGCACTGAGCTTCATTTAAGAATGATGGGAAATTTGGGGAATAGCTAATGGTTATTGGTGAACAACACGAAGAGCATATACAATTCTGAATAGTATGTATAAAGATTGTTGAAATGGCAAATGTTTTTTTGTTACCTGTGTATTTATCACAGTTCAGAGGGGGGAAAAACCCAAAACCTCAAACTCATCCATCCTTAAAACACCTTCACCCTTTTCCTGTCTTTTCTGCTAAGAGTCCACTGAAATGGCATTCGGTGACACCACTTTAACCCCTTTTTCTCCCAGGTTTCACACCCTTGCTGAACTGCAGACTGTCCGCCTAGATCGAGAGGGGATAACCTGTATCCGGAATTTAGAGAGCCTCCAGAATATTCACAGCCTCTATCTGCAGTCGGTATTATCTTGCCTCCCTGCCTCCCTTTACTTTCCCCACACCGTGAGCTTAACCTATCTAATTATGAAAGACCAGGCCATCTTGTCCACTCTTTTGTGTTCAGGTAGCTGCCTGAGATCATTTAAATAGTCCATAGCTGAATCAGGATTTCTCCTGAATTGTAAGATGTATGTTCCCCAACTCCATAAAAGAGATCCTGAATAGCCTCTTGAATGTCATTCTTATTTCTTGGTCTAAATTTCTTCTTGGAAGAAATCTTCTCCTGCAAAGAGGTTATACAGATGAAACCTATATCTTATTTTAATGAGTAGGAAGAAGGAACTGAATAGAGTAGATCCTTCTGTACTTTTCAGGACCTTGAAGGCTGTTTGTTGCTGAGTATAACCAGCTCAGATAAGTTTTCCTCACTTTACAAGTGAAATGAGCATACTAGTTGTTCCCTACCTGTTTACAGGACACCAAAGCCTTTACCATATCTCTGAGGTTACTTGGTCTCCTTCTCTAATTTCCAGGTCACTTTTTGGTTGTGGGCTTGGAATAGGTTAAAAAAAAAAAACAAGCCCTCATTGCCATCAAGTCTGAACCAACTCATAGCTGACCCTCCAGCCAGTTTTGGGAGGCTGTAAATTGCATGGGAGGAGACTGTCAGCCTTTCTCTTGAGGAGCCACTGGTGGATTTGAACCACTGGAGACACTAGGGCTTTAGGTTAGCAGCACAGCTCTCTACAGACTAGGCCAGCAGTGCTCCTTCTGAATAGTATGCATGCTTTAATCATGTTTAGCCAAACCTAAGTTTACACCTTTAAACAGCCACCTGAAGAAAGCATATCGCCCCATGGTGTTGACAACCATGCCAATGAGTGGGGTGATAATTTCTAAAGTGTTCAGTCTCTAGCTGCAAGAGTAGATAGACATGCCCTGGAAGTTTTATCCCCTTTAAGGGCCACATCCATCTGACTTCAGCTTGGCGGATCCACCTTGATTTCTTCCAACAGAATAAAATCCAGCAAATTGAAAACCTGGCCTGCATCCCCTCCTTGCGGTATGTAGGGCAAGGGTAGGGGTGGGGGAACCTGGCAGCACCCCAAGGAACTAGCTCAGACCTCACCAAGTTGATCCCTTGACAGCCAAAAATCTAGCAAGCCTAGCTCTATTTCCCTCATCTCAAAAGGCCACATGTCCCCACTTATCACCTGGCTGCCTTGCTAGGAGACCTGGACACCTGGTGCCCTCCTCCCTCCTTTCAGCTGCTCTCAGTGATTTGCCTCTGTCTCTGCCCCTTCTCCTCTCCTACAGCTTTCTGTCTCTGGCGGGAAATTGCATCAAGAGAGTGGAAAACCTTCTCGATCTGCCTCACCTTCAGTTTCTGGACCTTTCTGAGAATCAGATAGATACACTGAAGCTGGGTAGGAATGCCTTAGCTGAGGGACTAAGTCCCAGGTGGGGCCCTCCCTCCTCTCTGCTCTGACATCTCTGGGCATGCATGACCTGCACCCCATGCCTAAATACCTCATTCTCCAGGAGCATAAAGGGCTGTGCAAAGAGGTGTTTGGGCTGGCAGGCTGGTGTGAGCACCTCATTGCCTCTCTTTGGTGTGTACAGATGAGTTCCCCCAGAGCCTTCTCATCCTCAACCTGACTGGAAACAACTGCACCAAACAGAATGGATACAGGTAAAGAGGTGCTGGGCTCCACCTGCTGACTCCACTTGGCATCCCAGTCTGCCTGCAAACCTGGGCCCCCCCACCCATAACATCTCCCCTACTCAGCTCTGCTCCTTCTCTTTCCCTTCCTGTAACTCCACAGGGACCCAGCCCTGGCCATTTGGGGCTGGCCCACACACCCCATCTCCTAGCTTGAGAACTACCACTCCTGGGGCTGAGGAGCATGGTGGTTGTGTCCTTGTATCCCCTCAGGCTCCACACCTGGGAGCCCTCCTGGATAGCCACCTTTCTCTCCACCCTGCAGGGAGCAGGTCATAGGGGCCCTGGCTCTGCTGCTGGACCTGGACGGGAAACCAGTGCCAGAGCGCTGGGCCTCAGATGAGGAGGAGGCAGTCTTGGATGATGAAGATGATGACGAGTTCCCAGAGCTGAGTGGCCCATTCTGCTCAGAGCAAGGTGACACTCTGCCCTTGCAGATTCCTAGAGCCCACCCCTGCCCTGGGCGGGTGGGAGAACAAAGATGATGGCTCGGAGTGCAGATGAGCATCTGGCCAGAGATAGTAGCATGATAGCTGGGGCAGCAATCCATCCTGGCCATGCAGGTGACCAAGGCACATCTACCACCCCGCCTCTTCCCAGGCTTCCTCGAGGACCTGGAGCAGGAGATAACCAGGCACAAGGAACACAGGCAGCAGGCAGCCCTGACCGAGCACCTCCAGAGGATGGAGACCCAGCTCATACTCACGAACCTGCCCTTGCTGCCCGAGAAGCCCATGGCTGGAGACAGCAGTCTGTCCAACTCACATGGGCAAGAGAAGAAAACACCCAAGACAGCCACTCAGCCCATCCCTTTACCCCTGACAGGCTCTATCACCAAGATGCCTTCCTCTCTAGACATCTGGGCCAGCAAGGCACTGCCCAGGCACAGAAGGGGGCCAAGGCAGCTGCAGCTCCCAAGGCTTCCCTGTCTTGGGCCCTCAGCACAACCAAGAAAACCAAGAAGTAAAGTATGATCTGTCTGTCAGCAAAGCAAAAGGAATGAGGGAGATGCTCTCAGACCCCTCACCCATGGCAGGAACCCATCCTCAATAAAGTGTCTCTGAATATCAGTGTGTCTCGTATCATTGGAGGGGCATCTCAGAGAAAGCTCTGGAAGAGGCACAGAAAAGACTAAGGTTTTTTTTTTGTTTGGTTTCTTTTTTTAAAATTTTTAAAAAATAATTTTAATGAGCATTTACAGAGATTTTGGATTTCCATTCATTCGTTGCTGCACTTCTCTCCCCCTCCCCAATCCTTCCCCCAAGACTAAGTTTTAAGGAGCAGCCTGAAGCTAATGACCAAATGTCCAATCTTTCCAACCTGGCCTCCTGACCCATTTAAGCCAAACGAGGTGGACATCACCTCATAAGAGATGCCATCGCATGGTGGGCCAAACCTCACTACCACTTCTTCCAGCTCCAGGCCAAGGACCAAGGTTCCAAGTCTCCCCTAATAGTAGCCCAAGTGTGCTGGGCAAGAGTTGCACTGACAACCCAAAGGCAGGTGAGTTGACAAAGGCTGATAACCTAAGTCTACCAGTTGCTCTGCAGGAAAAAGATAGGCAGTCTCCTCCCAGGGGATTTACGGCCCCTGAATACCTACTGGAGAGTCAGCTATGAGTTGGTTCTGAATTAACAGCAATGAGAGTGAGTGTGCTAGGCATTGTTTTAAGTATGTGCACTTGCTAGAGGAAGCCCTCTCCACAAACCTCACCATCACCTAAGCCTTAAACATGAACTTCCCAGCAAGGCCACCAAGGTTCTGGCTGCCAGCTTAGGGCTACCCTTTACCCTCATGTGGCTATCCCATCTCCATGGACTTTGGACCAAGTTCACAGGACACAGAAAAAATTCTTTTATTAAAGCAAAGGTTGAGCTGGCTACTGGAGGCCAGGCTGAGGCCCAGCGTGCTGCCCACACTCCAGAAAGTTCTGCTGTGGGACTCACGCATACATGCGGCTCTCCCTTTCCACAAAGGTCTGGAAGATGCTGCCCCATGCCTGGGGTGGTGTGGCCTGCTGCCCAGCCAGCAGACTCTTTGCAGCCTCGAGGCCTTCCTGCTCTAGTGTCTGCTGCCGCTGCCGAAGCTGCTGCCCCTGATCCTGCAGGAGAGACAGGTGTCCCTTGGGGTGAAGGGGGTATTCCTTCACACAATCAAGAGAAAGGACAGATCACCAGTAGTCCAGGTAGCCTGGCTTTGAAAAGGGAACCTCTTGCCCAAATCACAGTGGAGTCTCTGCTCCATTCCTAGCCCCGCTCTGAAGATTCTAGAGTCACGGTTGTGGGGAGAGGAGGTGCACCATCCCCGCAGGCAGCCCCTCTTTCCTGGAGTTTACCTGCTCACTCTCCATCAGCCCCAAGGCCACCTGATGTCCCAGGTAGAGGGTATGCCGGCGATCCACCTGAGTCTGGAACCGAGGCAGGATTCGAGCAGGATCCTGTGCTCCAAACGTGGGGGACAGCACTTGGGGGGCCTGAGCCACCTCCACCCCAAAGATAAAAGGTTTGAACACTGACCTAATGGGACACAGAAGGATTGGGACCTATCATATCCCTCAGTTCCTCCTGAGAGGTACACATTCCTGGCCATCCCCAGCCTCACCTGGAGGGGTCTGGTGTGGCTGTGAGGAAGTGGACACAGGGCTGTGTGGGGTCCTGAGGCAAGATAGACACCATGCTGGCTGTTGTACGGAAGCCTCCAGAATCCATACAGATGCCACTCTCCTTGTTCCTGAGGATGCCCATCATCACCTCCGCTGTGATGCTGCCTGACAAAGAGGAGAGCAGGGGTCCTCTAGTCACAGACCAAAGTCCCCACCGCCTAGAGCTGGGGGAGGGGAGGGTGCCTCACTCCCATCCAGCCACTCACACACCTTGCTGTTGCTGCAGTAGTTTCCGCCCAGCCTGGAAGCGGGCCTTGGCAGCCTCCATGCGCACGGGCTGCTGGACCAGGGAGAAGACCTGGGAGAAGTGAAAGGTGTCCTTCCCATCCCACCAGTGCTGCTCCCGGGCATAGGACCGCAGCTCAGGGTGTTCTGCCGAGATGTCTGTGCCAATGCTCAGCTGGTTGGAAATGTTCCAGACCCCCTCTGTCAAGGAGACAGTGGAAGGGGGTTCATTGATTCATCTTCATCAGGGATGTTTGCTGAGTGCTAGCAAGCACTGCAACAGGACCTAAGAACACGACAGGAAAGAGAACAGACCTGCCCTCCTGGTGCCTACACTGTGGTGGAGGAGACATGCAAAACAATCACGAAAAATAAAGGTGAGATCAGTGTGGTGAGTGCAACGAAGAGAGGCACCTGCTAACATGCAAGGAGGCTATGTGACCCCCTAAGGAAGCCCAGGAGGGCTTCCTGGAAGAAGCAGCAAATCAAGGGAAAGAGGTAGAGACGTTCATTTCCAAGAGTGTCTCATCTACTCAAAAGGCTTGTTTCTGGACTGGGACAGGCTTCCCTCAGGGTGAAGGGGGAATTTTCCTGTCCTTATTCTCTCTCTCACCCCTTCCTAAGTCTGATGCAGAGGTAACACCTCTGGGAAGCAGGTCTCTCTGCCAGGCCCTTACCCCGGATCCTCTGAGCAGCCCACAGCCTCCCAGCGGTCTCCAACACCCATGACTCAGTTCGGTCAGCAAGCAAGAAGGTATTGTGGTAGCAGAATGGTGTGGAATCCTCCCGGCAGCTGCCCCCTTGCCCATAGCGCTCCAGTAAGCCTGTGATAACATGCAAGGCTTCGTGGGCTGACCTGCTCCGTTCTAAAGCCAATCTGCAAAGAGAGAATCCAGGAGACAGAAGGGCCATGGGGATATGAGGCTCCATTGGGCACATTCGCTCGGCCTATCTGTGGACATTGGGCATGTCAAGCATGACATACAAGTTGTTTTCAAACTGTGCTCTGAGAAATTCAACCCTCTTCAGTTAGAGTCTCTCCACTTTTACATGCTTTATAAACAGACTCCACATGAGATTTTTTTAAAAAAGTTTTAACTCCAGCAAAAAACAAAAACACCAAACAAAAAACCCACCCAAAACTGTTTAAACCATTACTTTATTTTTGGGGTTGAGAAAGACCAGAGGTGGCTGTATTTGGGGCTCCTAGAAGCTCTGGTGGCCTAGTGGGTAGGGAGTTGCCAATTAAAGACAGGCAGTTTGGATTCTATCAGTTGCTCCTTGAGAAGATGCGCAGTCTCCTCCTGTGTGATTTACTGCCCCTGAAAACCCACTGGAGAGTCAGCTATGTGTCAGTTTTGACTTGATGACAGTAAGTTTGAGGTTTTTAGTCAGACTGATGGGCCAGGGGTGGGAGAGGACCAGCAAGGGCAGTTCTGCATGGGAGGGTGTGAGGGCTAAAGAGGGCAGAGATAAGAGGTCCCTGTGGGAGGAGGCAAGGTGAACCTGGGCCAAAACTCAAGATTTCTGTGAGGAGGAGAAAAGGAAGGCGCTACCCGCACCTGAGAAGATCCATGCCCAGCAGGGCCTCGCCTTCCCCAATTGGCTCCTTGGTCCACACTGCCTCGTTGCCAATACAGACACCGTGCTCATTCGCACCCATCTCGGCCCCCCACAGCCAAGAAGGGCGGCTTAGGATCACAGCGTGTGTCTGGGACACCTGTTCCACTTCAATGTAGGTGCACTGAGGTTAGGGAAGAGAAAGGGAGAGGCCATTCAGAACTGGGCCAATCCTTTCACCTCCCATTCCATTTTACAGATGAGGAAACTGATGACCACAGAGACTACATACATTATGAGCTAAGGCCCCGATCTGTGGGCTCCAAGCCCATGCTCTTCCCAGTACATCTAGTGGCTGGCCTCCCAGGGCTAGGGAGTAGAGAGAGAGCTTACAAAAATGCCTGGATGTGGCACATCCTCAGCACCCCTTAAGGCCCAACCCACCTGGAGCCGGCTCCCAGGGGCATGTGTGGCTGCAGGAACAAACACCACTTCCTGCACTTCATCCCGGGGTCTGTCAGAGTTCTTTGCAAAGATCACTGCAGGGATGGCAGAGGCCGGGGGCACAGAGACAAAGCAGTCGCAGGAACTTGGAGGGTCCGGAGTCAGTGGCATCGTCTGGGAAGAGTTGAGGTGTCTATGTTAGCAATCCTAGCCAAACTAGGGGATCCCTTTCCCAGTACAAGCACACAGACATTCAGGGAAGACACTGCCATTGGGTTCTGGGCACTCAATACCGCACACACTATTTGGTTAGCAGCGGTAGCTGGTGGACATTGACCCAGACAGCGTCGAAAACCCTGACGGTAATGAGAGACCTTCCTTCCACGCAGTCGCTCTCGCAATCCCACCCACCTCTAAGAATCCAAGAGTACACCCCTAAACACGGCTCCTTGCCGACTTTCTCAGCAATATTAGTCCCACACCTTCTCTCCCTGCATAAACCCCAGCTCTCTCTCAAGGTCCACCTCCTCCGCGCCGGCTCCGTCCGTCCCAGCGGGCGGGGGCTCCCACGTGACCTGGAAGGTCCCTGGCCCCGGAGGCGGAGCCGCCACCGAGCACCTGCAGTTTACCCACTTTCCACCAGGGAGCGCGCCTGCACCACTCCTCGGAGCGGAGCCTGCGTTCCATGTCTTCCTTAGTTAGCTTCTTGCCTTTTCCAGGCACCCTTCAAATCTGAAGAAATGTTGGGAGGAATTCTCACAATGACCTGGAGCTGGGGGCCTGTGTGGTAAGGGAGAAAAGAAAAAACCGGGTGGTTTATCAGAGTGGAGCCTGGGGAGAATTTGGAAATGAAGGAAAAAACTTGGCTGAAAAGACCCTTGTTTGTATCCCAAAAGCACGCGAGTGGTGGCGTCTGGGTAATAAAACACATGAAAGTGGTCACAGATTAATAGAAAAGGGAATGACAAAGAGGGAACTAGAAGTATGTGGTTATATAAAGTATGTCATAAAATAAAATCTATATTAGTAAATAGAAAATCAATTTACTCTCTAAACTTTCATTCAGATTAAAAAAAAAAACCCCAGCCCAACAACAAAACAGTCATAGGCCAAAAAGCACAAAGATTTTCTTTTCATTTTATTATTTTATCTTATTTATTTTTTTTGTGTGTGTGTACCATCAAATTGGATCTAACTGGTACGTGAGGAGATTGTCCCTCCTTCTCCAGCAGAGCATCTGGTGACAAAGATATTTTCAATTCATGCATCTTTTGTGCACATGTGCAAAAATACCAGTTGGCCTACAACCAGGAGAAGATAACATAGATGAATGGGACCTTCTAAGACTCAAATCCCTATGCACATCCAAAAACTTCTCCAGTAGGGTAAAAAGGGAAGCCACTGACTGGGAAAAAGTATTCGGTAATATCAGATAAGGGACTTATATCCAGAATTTATGAAATACTTGAGCACCACAACAAGATAAAGGTAAATAATCCAATAGAAAAATGGGCACAGGATATGAACAGGCACTTCACCGAAGACGACATTCAGATGGCTAACAAACACATGAAGAAATGCTCAAAATCCCTAGCCCTAAGAGAGATGCAAATTAAAACAACTATGAGATATCATTTCACCCCAGTCAAAATAGCAAAATTTAACAGAACAGCAAGCAACAAATGCTGGCGAGGTTGTGGAGAAACTGGAACCCTGATTCACTGTTGGTGGGAGTGTAAAATGGTGCAACCCCTGTGGAAAGCAGTATGGCGCTTTCTCAAAAAGTTGCAAATAGAGATACCATTTGACCCAGCAATTCCACTACTGGGAATATACCCTGAAGAGACCATAGCTGACATCCAAGCAGATATATGCACACCCATGTTTATTGCAGCTTTGTTCACAATAGCAAGGAGTTGGAAACAACCTAAGTGCCCATCAACAAACGAATGGCTAGAGAAGCTGTGGTATATTCGCACAATGGAATACTATGCTGCATTAAAAAACAAGGAACTCATGCAATATTATTCAAAATGGTTGACTCTGGAGAACATTATGCTGAGTGAAATATCCCAGTCACAAAAGGACAAATATTACATGATGCCACTGTTGTAGAATGGGACTGTCCTTGGGGTTGGGGAGAGACTGAGTAAGATGGGTTCAATAATGTATACTGCACTGAAACAGAGGAGGGAGAGAACCGTTTAAAAGAGAGATGTAACTGGGTATTTCTGTCATCACAGGAGACTAGAGCGAGGGCTGCATGGTGGAGGGGACCTGGGGGAGGGTTTGTAAAACAATGAAAGAATCTTTTCTTTAAAAAAAAAAATACCAGTTGGCCCAAAAAGATTTAGTCTGTTCCAGAGAGTTCAGATTCATAGGAATATTGACTTGAAAGGAAATTTTTAAATTTCTTAAGTCAGAGATTTAGTGTCTTTAACTAGAGTGAAACCGAAGCAGCAAAGAAACAGTCTTGGCCAAGGAGAGGGACACAGTGAGGGAGTCTTCCATCCAAATGTTCAGATTTCCAGCTCAATTACCTTTATACTCCACCAGTATTCAAACATATGCATCTCACTCCCTTTTACTCCATGAAGTCTTCCGGGATTGTAGACAGGGGTGTTGCTGCAGATTGTGTATTTCTTCTCTAACCATCCTGCCAACCAGCCAGGGCTGAAGCTCAGAGCCCTGGCCACAGCAGCTGTGACTGTGGTCATCCAGGGGTGGGAATGAAGATTGAGGTGAGGCAATTTGGCTTCCCCAGGGGTGGGGAATGGCCAGAGGAAATGTGCCAGGTAAGATTACTGAGGATCTGAAATCTGAGCTTTTCTAGAATTGCTTCTGGGTATACAAGACTGATTTCCAGGAAGATGCTGCCTCCAGGTAGACCTTTTCAAAAAAGGGGCTACACAGAATGACCAAGAAACCAGACCAGAGATGAGGAAGAAGCTGGAGGGAAAAGGATGATTTTTAACTCCACAGGTCAGCATCTCAGTTACTATTTGTTAAGTCTCTGGGAAGGCTTCTGTTTCCCCACTGCTAGAGAAATAACATTGGATTAAATCAGTGCTTCTCAGCTGCAGGTGGGGTGAAAATCCACATCAAATCAATTGTGACTGACAGCAACCCTATGCGGTAGAACCGTCCTATAGGGTTTCCAAAGTAGAGAATGCCACACCTCCGCCTGAGGGGCTGCTGTGGAGTGAACAGCTGAGTTTTTGGTCAGGAGCAAGTTCTTAACCTCTACACTACTGGGACTCAGGTGAAGGGAAGAATAATGTCCTCCCCCCAACTATACATAACTCCCACTGTACAACCCGATACTTTAATACTCTGCTGTTCAAAGTGTGGTCTGTAGGGTTGTCAACACTGGACATCCTTGTTAAATGAGATGAGAAGAGAGGTACTCCAAACTTCCCTTGGCAAATACTTTTGTTTTGTTATTCCCCACCTTTTTATTTCTCTAGCCATTATAATCTCTATGTAGCTCTCATTTCTACTTTATTCTTATGCTGGTGCTACTACATCAAAGCTTTTGTGCTTTTTTAACATTTTGCTGTGTTTTTGTTGTTATGTGCCGTCGAGTTGCTTGCGACTCATGGTGACCCTATGTACAACAGCCCTAAACCTTCCTCTAACCTGTGCAAACCTTACTGTCTCTGACACACCTACTCCCATTACCCCAGCCATGGAGTCAGTCCATCTCACTGAGGATCTTCCTCTCTTGTGCTGTCCCTCCACCCTCCCAAACACGATGGAAGGGTCTATTCTCCTAGCTGTCCATGATATCTTCAATACTCTTCTCCAGCACCACAGCTCAAAGGCATCAGTTCTCCTTCTATAATCCCTAATAATTGTGCAGCTTTCTGACAGCCTGGATCAGGTGCACCTTAGTCTCCAGACTGACATAGCTGTTCTTCAGTACTCTGGAAAGGTCCCTGACAGCAGACTTTCTCAGTGCAATTCATCTTTTTTTTTTTCAATTCATCTTTTAATTTCAGTTAATTGTGGAGTCAAGAAAACTGATGCTGTTTGCAATCTCAATTTCTTCACTGTCTACCCTGACTTTGTTGTATTGTGGTGAAAATATATAGAGATGTAACAAAGTGTGTACCGTCTCAGCAATTTCTACATATACAGTTCAGTAAACATTCATTATATTTTTCAAGTTGTGCAACCATTGTTACTATCTTTCTCCAAGTCATTCCACTATCATTAACATAGCCTCAAAACCTTAGTGCTTCTACTTTTTAAAAAGTGTTGGCTAGATTACAAAGAAGACAATGTTTTACATTCTACTTGCATAATAGTGACTGGGGTCTTAACAGCTTACAAGCAGCTAAGGTGCAACTATTGGTCTTTCCCTGTTTGAAATAAAGAATAAAGAAAAGCAAAGATGTACTGAAAGAATTAGTTCAGGTCAACTAATAAAGATTGTTTTTCCCTTAAAAAAAAGTTAGTTCAAAGGCCTATGGATTGTGTGAACCTCAACGTCCATGACACTGAAACCAGAAGAACTAGATGGTGCCTGGCTACAAGCACTGCCCACTAAATCACCTGGATAAAATGAGAAGACTGTGGAATAAACTAAAAATAATTGTTAAAAGCCAGGCTTACTGGTCCAATAGAAACTGGTTGAACCCCCAAAACCATGACTCTTGGTCACTCTTGAACAAAACTCACCCTTATGGCTCAACATAAAGTAATAACAGACAGAGCTATAAAGTGACCAGCACCACCAGGGAGGTGCTCACTGCTTTGAATAACCAAGCATACAAAGTAAAAAAAAAAACAAAAACACCCAGGATTTGTCCAAGAATCAAAACCAGAAGATGGAAAAGGGTGAAATAGAAGGATTTCTGTAAAAGAGAATTACAGGGAGGAAGTGGAGAAAGTGCTCTTTGCATTGTGGATTTTGTAATTAATGTTATAAGAGGTGTATAAATGGTTGAATGGAAAACCAGTTTGCTTTGTGAACTTTCCTTCTAACACTTTAGGAAAGGAGAAAAGATGTTTTGTAATTTAATAAGTTAATTTTTTATTTTCTTTTTAAAGTATAATTGGTCCACGAATCCCTAATATTAGAAGCCTCTGGAGGCTATCAGAAATGCAGGCACTTGGGCCTCACCCTAGACCTCCTGAATCAGAACCTGTATGTTACAAAACTCTTC